TTTGACAGAGAGAGACACAGCGAGAGAGGGAACACAAGCAGAGGGAGTGGGAGTGTGAGAGGGAGAAGCAGGCTTCCCGCGGAGCAGGGAGCCTGATGCGGGACTCAATCCCAGGACCCTGGGATCATGACCTGAGCCGAAGGCAGACGCTTAACCATCTGAGCCACCCAGGCGCCCCAGGGACACTTGATTTCTTTAGGACCCCTTTACAAGCATTGTTTTGTTGTTACTGTTATGTTCAGGAAAAAGTGCCACCCACGATAGTAATCCTAACAGGTTACACTTGTATGTGCTAAAGTCTTACTATTATTTTCTATTGAACTGGATTCATTAGGGCTGAGATCCTGAATAATTTGGTGTGGCCATAAGTATAAGGCTGTAAGACATGCGAACCCAAGTAACCTGCAACAATGGGGCTTTGTTGAGCAGGCATTTATACAATATATTTTCAGTGTATTTTAGAAACGTAGACATTGTGGTTAAACCCCTGCAAAATAAAAATGTAACTACTGTAATATATCTTTATTTACAAAGAATTCAGCTCAACTTTATAGCTGATTAGTGATGATATTCATGTTTAGTTTGGTATATAGTGAAATATCCATAAGGATGTAAGGAGGTAAATTAACATTTAATTAAATGTTAAGTCTGTTTTTCATGATCTCTAAAAAAATCAGATGGTCTTTCAGATTCTATGGGAATATATTAATTGTTGAGGAATTCATGATATCTTAAAACAATGAAGTCCATTAATGGATGGTTAAAATTTTTCAATGAAAATTTGCTGCCCCATAAATTCTACTCACTGGTGATAGTCCTGTACACTTGGGCAGTGATTGCATACCCCTGACTGTGCTAAAGTAGTAGGATATTATATATATTAGAAAACATGCAAAGAGAAATTTAGAATGGATGAGATAAAATACTATATAAAAGTTTTAGCATTCCAGGCTCCATCCTGGTGGATCTTCATACATACCACTTGCATTCTGCTTTGTTATCACTGTACTCAATCCATGGAATATAAGATAGCCCTCTGCAAACAAAAGCTTCTCTTTTTTGCCTATATTGTCTCTTTGACTCTCAAGTTTCTTCTATAATTTCTATCTGGTTTCTTGTCCATATCCTTACCATGAAGTCATGTTACTAATAATTTATCAGTTTTGTGTATCCTACAGAAAAACCATCTAATCAAACAGTGATTCAAGAATATGAGCTACAGTTAAGCCAAAGTAAGCTTATACAGATAGTACTATTAATTTGGGTGTGGTCATGATTCCTCATGTCTCCTGAATGAGTAAAAAAGTCTCAACTGACCTTATGTGTACCATGAAGGTATGAGGAACAAATAGCTCTTTATAAATTAAAAAATCAAGGATTCTTTGCCTCCTTTTCCAACATACACACACAGACACACACACACCTGAGAAAACAATCCTAAATCCAAGTGTTCAGGCTTTTATGTGTCAAGACTTGTATATTATAATTCTTGTCCTATGCATAGAATATATTTTTCCACCATAATTATACATTATCTTAATGACATTTGGAATAGATGAATATAAATAAGTAAGGCAAATCAATAAAGTTCACATACAAATTTTATATCCCTTGCTCCTCAAATAATATTTTTGACGAGTTACTATCCATCCAGTAAGTCCTGGACTCTTTGTATTCCCTTGGGAAATGGCACAAGGCCTTTTTGAATGTTAGATTATGCATTTGGATCTCTGATTTAGTGGAACAGTGTGTAAAAATCTCTCATAATCAGAACACTCTCCATTGGCTCCACATCTGAAGATTCCCGAGAGTGCTGTTTGTTCCAGTGAACATCTGGAATAGATTACATTCAGTTAATTGGCTCCAGGTCGAGCTTGTTACAGACAGTAGCTTGCAGTATAACCTATGCAATTCACTAAATCCACCCACTTTAGGTTAAATCACACCTACTTCTCTCTGTAATTCCTCCCAGATGCAGGACCCACACGTGCGCGTACACAACACACACACACACACACACATCCACATCCACTGGAAGGAAGATGGCAAAATATCAATAGATTGGCGGAGAGGTTGTTGGCTATACATTTAACCCATAAATTACCTCAATTAAAAGATTAACTATTGAATTCAGAGGATTGTTGGGAAGAAAAACAATGAATCAGGAACAGCAGATTATGGAGAGTGACTGTTTTATAGTAGAAAAATATTTAAAGTTAAAAAAAAAAGTTCCGGCAGTTTCAGGATTTTTGTTTTATTTTGTCTCTCACCCTTAGCATATGTAACAGCACGTGCATGCACTTATCAGAATGTCATGCAGCAAGGAAAACAGCACTTTGATTTTTAACTTATTTAACAGTATTAATGAGTTGGGTTTCAAGGAACAGTATGACTACTGTTCATTGAAAACCAAAACATCAATCTTCTTAAGTTATAGTGTTGGAGGCACAGGGCATGTCTTAGCGATTAATGATCAGTTGGAGGAGTAGATATCTCAATACATAGCCAAGGGCCATTAACCCCAACTGGTCATTAATTCCCAAGAAAGGTCTTGTACTGAGGTCATTATTGCTAATAAAATGCACACATGGAAAGTTCCCTCTCTTTTTGCCTGTGTACCTAAACATACATTCACATTACATGCATTGTTGCATGTCATGAAGAAAAAGGTAGTATTTCACATGTCCAGAAGCTCAGAAAAACTAAGCCTAATGAGAAGTTTAATACACTTAAACTCTATATTCAATTTACCTTTCATTTTTGGCAGGGGGGAGTGGGAAGTGGGAGGAAGGATAAGTGGAGGAATACACGTGTGTATGCCAAGGCTATGGATCTTCTGCAATCAGATACCCATATTCTGCTAACATGTAGATAGAGGGAAAAATGAAAGGAACAGGCAAATGGGATTAGAGTCACTGATGCATATGAATAGAATCAGCACATATGATCTAATATCAAAGGCAGTGTGGAGTAATGGCATTATCCGAGTCATAATACATTAGGTACCAGAATGGGCATGAGGCACATTTAGCAGTTAGGTCAAGTTCATCTCTCTCTTCCATCTTTTTGGATTATGCTATTATATCCCTTCTCTGCATAGCAGTCTAACCAAGTCTAAAATGCTTCTGGCTTTTCAAGAACCCTTAATGAGTTATCACTGTCTTCTGAAACTATCTCTTTTTGCTTTCCATTCTCCTTTCACTGTCCTCCATGAAACTGTCCTTGTCTTGCTTAAATCTATATGATACTCCTTTGAGCTATCTTCCATAGCATCCCAAAAATATCTTGATTTTAGAAATCATTTCATAGTGCTTTAATTATTTGTATGTAATCAACCACTTCTTTCAGAAAAGAGTCTTATCTTTTTCCTCATCTTAACAAATGGGGACTAGCTGTGATGTTAATGACTGTTACATATGTATTCTTGTACGTATGTTCTTATTTGCATGAAAGTAGTAAGTTTTTAAGGAGAACCTGTAAGTCAAAGAATGTATCTATTTTTTACTGGCATAAATGACAAATTCAAAAATTGCAAGATCCATTTCTTAAGAGATTGAGTAACTTAAAACTCACATAATTTAAAGCTAGTCCTGATGAATTTTCCTGTGGACCAGCTAAAGTGACTGTTTTGTGCCAGTAACAAACATTTTGTCCCACTAGCTTTAAAACAATACAGTTCTTTATTTTTTTAAGAATTTATTTTAAATATATTGTTTGAAGAACGACTTTATTAGGGTTTTATTTTATGCCTTAATGAAATTTTAAAAACTAAAATTTTCATAAAGTGCTTCTGATGGAATAGATCTTTTTGGTCAGAAGGACATTCTTGTTTTCTCTCAAATTATATCTAATTAATACTGCTCAAGGAATGTCAAGTAAATGTGAATAAAATATGTAATATGTGGCATATTTAGTACAATATTCTTTTTTTAAAGATTTATTTATTTGTTTTAGAGTGAGCAAGCAAGCATGCATGAGCGAGGGTGGGGTGGGAGGGGGTTGGGACGGGCAGAGGGAAAGGCAGAGGAAGAGAATCCTCAAGCAGACTCCCCGCTGAGTGTGGAGCCCAACTCCATGCTGGACCCCAGGACCCTGAGATCACAACCTGAACAGAAATCAAGTGTTGGACGCTCAACCAACTGAGCCACCCAGGCGTCACACTTAAATGTGTATCTAAATTACCTTGATTGTTTACATATGTAGTAATTTTCTAAATCAAAGAATTAAATATGGACAGATTACACACAAGACAGAATAGTTAGGTAAGTCCTATAGGTATCTTTGAAGATGATAAGTAAATTATTATAATATAAAAATATTTATTTTTAAAAAATAAATATATATAAAAATATAATTTAATAAGCACTCATATTCAACATTTCATGAAGAAACATAAAATTTGCAGTGTCCTTAAAATGTTTGTCAAGTATAACAATAAATCAATACATCCCTAAATTTTATTTTACTTCATTTTCCTAGATTGATCTTAACTTCTGAGATTAAAAGTAGCTAGATCCTTGATATGCATAAATATTTACTAAAGAGCTGATCTTTCATAACAAAGTTCACTTATATTAGACCTTCTCTTAAAACTAAATCAAATAGGTGCTCCTGGGTGGCTCAGTAGGTTAAGCGTCTGCCTTCAGCTCAGGTCATGATCCCAGGGTCCTGGTATCGAACCCCACATCAGGCTCCCTGCTCACCGGGAAGCCTGCTTCTCTCTCTCCCACTCCCCCTACTTGTGTTCCCTCTCCTGTCTGTCAAATAAGTAAAATCTTAAAAAAAAAAAAAAAAAAAAAAGAACTAAACCATATAAACATAGAATATTTTGATATTAAATAAGTAGAAAATTACTTAAAGTATAAGACTTTTTTATTATAGCTACAGCTATTACCAAGAAAGCACAGAAATTATTTGGACAGAAGTTAAAGCAGGTACTACATCTGGAATCTTGCCTGGACGTAAGCATAGCAAGATCTTTTCTGTGGTCTATTTCTTAGAAAGACAGTGATAACTTTGTGGAGAAAGAAGAGAAGTTGAAGACTGCAAGAGTTGAAGATCACGTGATTCTACCATATTGAAAAGCACCCAAAGACTTAGGGTTTTAAGAGGCCAACTCTAGCTAAAGTCCTGACCACATATTTTTATCTACTTCTTATCTGCCACGTGACCTTGGGAGAACCATTTAACTCTATACCTCAGTTTCCTCATCTGCAAAATGAGGTAAATAATTATCCATCCTTTATGGCTATAGTAGCATTATTAAAAGATAGACTGAGACATATTAAAATTTTAAGTTTTTTTGAGCAAAAATTGGTTCCAGTCATATAGTGCCAAACTGGAAGTGGTTAGCAGTGCTTTGCCTTCAGGAGTCAGGGACAGACTTGTGTGGAGAAAGTGCTGAAGCAAAGAAAGAATTAGCTGTAGCCTAAGGCCTAGTTGGTTGGTTGTGGTTAGTTATCCCTAATGTTTTGATTTTGTGACTTTGAGGCATTTATAGACTTAGATTTCCATTTGCTTAAGGAGGCCACCACCTCATCAGAGCTGCCTGAGTCTAATGGCCTCCTTGTTAATTTAAAAGCATTAAGTCATTTCATTTATGGAAAGCACTTTAAAACAAAAAGTATCTGGTACATATAAATATTCAATGACTATTATTTGTAATTATTATTATATGGCTTAGTTTGAAATATGTGTTTTAATTTATTCCATGTCTTAACAAAGACAACTGGGGCACCTGGGTGGCTCAGTCAGTTAAGTGTCCAACTCTGGCTCAGGTTATGATCTCAGGGTCCTGGAATCGAGCCCCACGTCGGGCTCTTTGCTCAGCGGGTAGCCTGCTTCTCCCTCTCATTCTGCCGCTTTCCCTTCTTGTGTTCTCTTTCAAATAAATAAATAAAATCTTAAACAAAACAAAAACAAAAAAAGACAACCAAAGCTTGCATCATCCCAGGCCTAAAATTTGTAGTGGTGGCCCTGACCTAATCATTCCTAATTTTTCCAATTTTAAGTAGTCTTTTTATTTTTATTTTTTTAAAGATTTTATTTACTTACTTGAGAGAGAGTAAGACAGCACAAGCAGGGGGGAGTAGCAGAGGGAGAGGGAGAAGCAGGCTCCCCACGGAGCAGGGAGCCTGACACCGGGTTTGATCTCAGGACCCTGGGATCATGACCTGAGCCGAAGGCAGATGCTTAACTGACTGAGCCACCCGGGCACCCCTTAAGTAAACTATTTTTTTTAAAGATATTTTTTAAAATTTATTTGACAGAGAGAGACACAGCGAGAGAGGGAACACAAACAGGGGGAGTGGGAGAGGGAGAAGCAGGCTTCCCGCTGAGCAGGGAGCCCGAAGCAGGGCTCGATCCCAGGACCCTGGGATCATAACCTGAGCCAAAGGCAGACGCTTAACGACTGAGCCACTGAGGTGCCCCTTAAGTAGACTTTTAAAACATCTTTATATCAGAAACAAGAAATTAACTCCCTGAAAATAACAGCTTTTATTTGCTTTTGCCTAGGAATCTTTTTCCTCGGGGATGATATGGGGATAGAATGGGCTTCTACCGGTATTCTTATCTAAGTAAAGAACTCATCAAGTTAGAAAGAGTTGGTTCCTTCTGCATTTGTGTTAGAACAAACAAGCAAACTTTAATAGAGGAAGAAATGCTAATCATCATAAATAGTTGAAATTTAGTTATGACTTGATCTCTGCATCTGTGTAAAGGCAGACCTGAATTTTATTATTCAACTCTGATTTCTTTCCTTTGTAACAATTTGCAAGATAAACAAGAGAGAAGGAGCAATTATTTTTTAAAAATCTATACACATTCAGAAAATTATGATTTAGTACATTTAGGAAAATCTACAAACTGCTATATTAATAGCTATTTTCTTATTTTTTAGATTAACACCCTTTGAAAGAGGACATTGTTTTCATCATGACTGCTAATAAAAATGAGAGACCGAAGTCCAGGAGCCACAACTTTCACCTTTTTCATGCCTTGATGATACTAAGCATGACCATGCTATTTCTTCCAGTCATTGGAACTTCTAAGCAAAATATTCCACGACTCAAGCTGACTTACAAGGGTAAGTGTGTAAATGTTTTTCAGATTGTCTTTTTGATTACTGTATTTCTTTTATTTAGAAATGCATACTGACTTCAGTGAAATGTTTATAGTATTGGCATCAGTTAATAAAAATATTATTACAGAACAAAACCCAATTGTTTCTTATTTTTGTGAGGAAAATGGTGCCAAAGGTGTTCATGTACACTTTTCAGCTCATTATTTACAATGATCAACTACTGATTAGCATAATTAGGAGATTTTGGTCTGTTGGTTATAATCAGTTTTGTATTAAAAAAAAAATCAATCCCTAAAAATAGAAATACATTAATTTCATATGGTTTATACTAATTATTTTATCCCTAGTTCAAGGCAATTTATATTTAAAAACAGTAAGATATCTTTAAAAAAATTATCACACTAAGATACCTTTAAGATTTCAAATGTATACATATTTATTATTTTAAAAAGACCCTGCGAGGGCGCCTGGGTGGCTCAGTTGGTTAAGCGACTGCCTTTGGCTCAGGTCATGATCCCAGGGTCCTGGGATAGAGTCCCGCATCGGGCTCCCTGCTCTGCGGGGAGCCTGCTTCTCCCTCTCCCACTCCCCCTGCTTGTGTTCCCTCTCTCGCTGTGTCTCTCTCTGTCAGATAAATAAATAAAATCTTAAAAAAAAAAAAAAAGACCCTGCGAAAGACTTGAAATATAGAGATGAAAAACTATTTAAGAAATGAAATCTGCTAAGCTAATTGTTTTTAAATGTTTAAATTAATATAAAAGTAAAGTTTATATGAGTTATATTTAGTCAACTTATGTATGTGTATGTTTGTGTGTATAGATAGACATATTCACAGAGAGAGAGAACGGGCCAAGTTTTATGCTTAAAGATCTTTTCTTTTCTTTTCTTTTCTTTTCTTTTCTTTTCTTTCTTTTCTCTTCTTTTCTTGGCTTCTTTAATACTTCAAGTAATGAGAGGAATGTAGGAGACTTATACTCCTTTATTCTGAACTTGGGAGGAAAAAATTATGCCTGCAGTTTTAATATCCTCTGATCTTTAAGACAAGTTACTTTCTGAACTCAAATGAAATATCAATAATAAAACCTAACTTGATGTCGAATGTAAGTGGAAATGGAATTAGCATTATACAATCCATTACACATTTCATATGTTGGCTTTGTTTGGAATTTATATCTCATGAATTAAAGAGTTAGGGCAATGTATTATTTTTGAGTTCTTATATTTTTCTAGGATTTTTAAAACAGGTGAAAAAGGAAAAACAGAATGTTGCCTCTGTGTGGTTGAGGGGAGGATTAACAGGCAAGACATATGAGGGAGAAATTTCCGAGATTATGGAAGAGTTCTCTATCCTGGTAAGGGATGTGATTACTCAATTATGTGGATTTTTCACAACCCGTCATATGCAAAAGTCAGATTTGTTCATTTGCCTGTATTCAAAATTCACCTTAAGAAAAGGAACAGAAAACAAATATTAAACTCCAAACAATGAGAAAAGGAGAGAGAAAGAGAGATGCAGCAATTCTGAAATTAAAGAGGTTGAAGGGAAAAAAAAATAAGGGGAACGCTCTCTGGTTCCTATGATATAATGAATAACATTAGAGCATTGCACTGATACGTGTGAACAATGCAAAATAAATCAGGCTCGCAAAGACACTTTAGTAGTTACCAGTCACTGATGATTCATTATGAGTGGAGCATTGGTATAAGAACTGTGTGTTGGGGCTCCTGGGTGGCTCAGATAGTTAAGCGTCTGCCTTCAGCTCAGGTCATGATCTCAGGGTCTTGGGATGGAGCCCCACATCGGGCTCCTGGCTTAGCCGGGAGTCTGCTTCTCCCTCTCCCTCTGCCTTTCCCACTGCTCATGCTCTCTCTCTCTCTCTCTGTATCTCTGTGTCTCAAATGAATAAATAAAATCTTAAAAAAAAGAACTGTGTGTTGTCCTTTCATCCTCACCACCACCCGGTATGGTGGGGATTATTATCATCCCCTTCCCTTACGTGAGGATGTGGAGGTACTGAGAAACTGAGATATTTGCCAAGGGTCTCAGATTGGGTCATGGCTCAGCGCCTGAGTCAGCCTCATGCTGCATAGGGCCCAGATGCCTGATCCTGTTTCTTAGGTCCTGGTCATTAGCAGTTCTTCCTTCATGCACTTAACGACCAGAGTGAACTTTAACATTTACAGAAGCACCATGCTTGTATTTGACTGATGATATAATTTTCAGTTGTCAAAATTAACAGAGTTAAGAGTTGAAGAAGGACACATGCTCTATTTAAGATCACTGGGTGGCCAAAAGAGATCTACAGACTTGTAAGATGTTGTGCCTTTGGATAAATGTATGGAAAAAGGTAGATTATCATTGTGATCATTTGAGTTCATAATCATAATTTCATACAAGTGACTGTAAAATATTAACCCCAATGTGGTAAATTGATCATTGGAAAAATAAATCAATCTCTACAGATTGAGAAAAACATCATTAATCATTCCGTACAGCTGTTACTAGTTAGTTCATGTAGTTAAAGGTTTTTTTGTTTTGTTTTGTTTTGTTTTTGTATGAATGTGTTTTTGGACTTGGAATCAACTCTATGAGTTCAAAATCTTGTTTTAGTTATTTCTGTATCGACTGTCACTCCTCTCAGCATCTAGTGCTTATACAAAAAGGGAACTGGTTAATTAAGTGCTGGATTAAATGCAGTAAGAACTATTCTTTTGATGGTTCTTATATTACACTTTCTCAGTGTTGTATTTTTTAGGTTTTTCTCTACATTTAGGTAATTTACATGTCAAAGTCTGGTAAGCAGTAGCAAAGATTGAATGCAGGATAGGAATTACAAATATCTCCTGACCCACCCTCAAAAGATACACACACACACCCCTATGAGTTCCCCATAGCTACCATTAGCTATTAATTTACAGATTGTATGCTAATAATAGAGTAATCATCTTTGCTAGGAGAAGTATTCACAACCCTTACAGGGCACTCCTCTTTCCACTTTAAAGAATACGGCATCTTCTCTTTGGAAATCATCTGTTGAGCCCTACCACGTCCACATTTCCCATCCACTTCCAAGCATGTGAACAGCTTCCCTGTCCACCTTGTCTATATCGTATCTGAAAGTTTTGGAGGAAAGTAGGTCAAATCCTACTATTTTTAAGTGGGCTATTATGGAATATATAGTTATGACATACAAAATCCCTACCAGTTTGGGGTTATGGTGACAAAAAGTGCCTGGATACCACATTCCTACTTCTGAGATAATGATCGTAAGTCTCTCTTGGCATCTTCCTTCTTTCCTGATCCTGAGTAATGAATTGAGATCAGCCAGTACCACCCATTGCTTAGATAGCTTTGGAAGAGTCTTAAAGTTTGTGCTTTGGGCATTAAAACACTGCCAGAATGTGAGGTTAGAAAAATCAGCTAAAGTGAAAAATTAATTTTGTTTTCAAAAATAATTTTTATGGTCACAGACTTAGCTTTGTTTGCTTTGCTTTCCGTGGTTCATGCTTCCTTAGATGCTGACCAGAGATGCAGCCAGTATCAGTAGATTTGGCTACTTTGAACAGCTGCAAGATTATTTTGAGGGATTTCTTAAAGGCCAACAGAAAATATAATAACCATTTTATGCAAAGAATGCTCTTTGATAAAGACTTAGTGTTGAACCTCTGAATCCACAGGAGCTTGTTTGGTTCTATTGTTTTGCAAAGAGATTTCCCTTCAGTTGCATATTTTGAATTCTTGCACATGTGTGCATACTGAATCTGTTTCTTGAATAACAAGGAACCTTGAAGATCAGAATGTTCTATATTTCTGGATTTCATGTTTTAAGTTTATTATATATATTTTGCCCTACAAGGTGGGCTTCTCACAGTCATGTGGACAGTTTATACTTCAGATGTAATAAAAGTAACTTTTGAGAGATGACCTATTTCAGTCCCGTAGTAGTGTAAACATTCTGTATTTCATAATCATCACAAAGGAACTCATATGGGTTAAGGATATTTATTCCCAGGAATCATTAATATCTGCAAGATTATTTTTTTGAAAAACCAGAAAGTGACATAGGTAACATAAAGAGGAAATGGACAAAAACTTTGGAACAGGAGAAAAAAAATGAAAGTTAACTAATATACAAAGTCTCATTTCTTATGATGAATTGTAGGGTTTTTTTCATATTTTTTTCTTTTTTGCATAGTCTCTTTAGCCTTTCTCTTTCCTTTCCTAATTTTAGATTTTAATACTAATCTACATGTGAATGGCTTATTATATATATATTACACATATGTATATATAGGATACATGCATTTGCATATATCTCATACATATAGTCTTTTTTCTTATCACATCCTTTTGAACCTGGCATAAAGAGAATTCAGCTATCAATTCCATTTGAATATTTTCACCCTAAAACTCTTGCTATCTCAAAGAATCACAGTAAACCCATAAAACACCAGCTTGTCAACACTGAACTCCCACATATTAGACATGAGGAAGGAAACTAACCCACTTAGTAGTTACCATATAGTCACCCATCCTGCAAATATGTATGGAACAACCACCTGTTCATTAGGCCCGAGAAAAGTCACTGTTCTCTTTGAATTTCTTGTCCAGATAAAGAGACAAAGAGCAGGTAAACAAATAAATGAATATCATCTCAAATAGTGGGAAGTGCTATGAAGAATATAAAACAAGTGGGCGCCTGGGTGGCTCAGACGTTAAGCGTCTGCCTTTGGCTCAGGTCATGGTCCCAGGGTCCTGGCATCAAGTCCCACATCGGGCTCCGTGCTTGGTGGGGTCTGCTGCTCCCTCTCCCACTCCCCCTGCTTGTGTTCCCTCTCTCGCTGTGTCTCTCTCTGTCAAATAAATAAAATCTTAAAAAAAAAAAAAGAATATAAAACAAGAGGGTGACAGGCTCCAAGGACCCTACTTGGACTTTATTATATCTATTTGAGGATACCCTGAAAACCATTGTTTTTGAACCTATTTTTTAGATAAGAACCTC